TTGCTGTTTATTACTAAGCCAGAGACATCGACTCCAATTCTACTTTCTATCATTAGTAAATTTGGCCAGATCTCGGGGTATAAAATCAATTTTGAGAAATCAGAAGCCCTACCCCTAGGGGCTCAAAGGGGCAAGTGGAATCCTCCACCTAATTTTCCCTTCAGATGGTCTATTGAAGGATCTACGTATTTAGGAAATAAAATATCTGCAAACACTTCTGAATTCTACAAATTCAATTTTAGAACAGTTCTCAATTCAGTTAACTCATTGACTGCCAGCCGTTTTTGATGATTTCACTGATTGTCAAGGCCCACAGAATATCATGGGCTATGACTGTGTGGAAGTTTGAAACCAGATTCTGAAAGACTGGATTGACTACTTTCATCAACAAAAATAATTTGGTTTCAAGCTGTTTTTTCTCTCCTTTAATCCCCAGTCGAATAGAGGGAAGTTTCTCAGGAAATTCCGTCAATGGCAGTCAATGAGTTAAAAATGATCTTAATAGGTGGTTTGACCTCCCCCTGTCATTACTGGGCAGGATAAGTTTGAGAAAAATTAATATACTTCCCCGGCTACTCTATCCAATGCAAATGTTACATCTTAAAATTAATAAAACAACATTTTCAGCGTATCAAAATTTATTTGGCATGGGAAGAAATCAAGACTTAAAATTAAAACTTTACAACTTCCTGTTGATGGGGGTGGTCAGGTGTTACCTAACTTTCAGTACTACTATTGGACCTGTCATATAAGGGTAATATCAGGATGGCTACACTCACTTTTACACCAAGCTGAGTCACACGTGAATGGTTGGTGTTGTGAACAGTCACTGTTGAGCTTATTGCCCTTAGATTTGGGTAACCTTCCAATCGAAGTAAAGAATAACAATATTTTGTTTGCAACTTTTAGAGCATGGCGTAATATAAGAGAACATCTGGGGCTGAATAATGTTTAAAGTGCAATGCAACCTCTTATTAAAAATTCAGCTTTCACCTCTGCTATGGATTCTGGCATATTTGATAACTGTAAAAGTAAAGGACTGAAATTAGTCTACCAAAATAATGCTTTCATGTCGTTTGAGCAAATTAGGGATAAATATGACATTCCGCAAAAGGATTTTTTTTGTTTTCTCCAGGTCAGACACTTTGTTCAATCATCCCTCTCCTTCCCTAAAGATCAACCAATCTTAAACTCAATTGAAAAATGTCTCCTCAAATTTAATGAGAGCCTTACCCCGAAAAAGAAATGTATCTCTCTTTTCTATAATGAACTCATCGAAGCAAAACCTCTGGCTGGTAATTCCAGGGCCCATTGGGAGGCTGATATGGGGGTTGAGCTTGGTGAGGAGGCCTGGTCACGTGCATTTATGTATGCAAGAAAGACATTTACTTGGAACAGACTTCAGGAGAATCAATATAGAATCTTGCACAGACTTCACAAGATTCAACCTCAGCGCTCTCCTTTCTGTATAAAATGTAAATACACAGTGGGGACCTATTATCACTGTATCTGTATCTCAGGTTTTGGAAGAACGTTACTACTGTGCTCCGATCCATATTTCACCAGACCATCTCAGTGGACCCTGCCCTATTTCTTTTGGGTATATCTGAGAGGCTTCCTGTGCTGCCATCTGGCGAGGAGATGCATCAATCAATCAAACTTTATTTATAAATCGCTTTTCATACAATAAAATGCAACACAAAGTGCTTTACAGCTGAGTCAAAATCAATACAACATGCCCAATAAACCCCAAAGACCCACCCATAAACCACCCTAATTAATAGATATACATCGAGATGCATATACCGGTACACACACACACACACACACACACAGAAAAATAAAAACACATCAAAGGGGTAAAATAGGTAAAACTATGAAAAGATATAGGGCTGGATGCGGATGTATCCAGCTGAAGAAGCGCCATCCAGGGAGCCATCCGCACCAAGAGCAGAGAGCCTCTTGCAACCACAGGAGACGACACAGGACCCAGAGGAGAGAGGAGACCCCAGACCTCCCACCAGGTCCTCATAGGACCCGGAGGAGAGAGGAGACCCCAGACCTCCCACCAGGTCCTCATAGGACCCGGAGGAGAGAGGAGACCCCAGACCTCCCACCAGGTCCTCATAGGACCTGGAGGAGAGAGGAGACCCCAGACCTCCCACCAGGTCCTCATAGGACCTGGAGGAGAGAGGAGACCCCAGACCTCCAACCAGGTCCTCATAGGACCCGGAGGAGAGAGGAGACCCCAGACCTCCCACCAGGTCCTCATAGGACCCAGAGGAGAGAGGAGACCCCAGACCTCCCACCAGGTCCTCATAGGACCCAGAGGAGAGAGGAGACCCCAGACCTCCCACCAGGTCCTCATAGGACCCGGAGGAGAGAGGAGATCCCAGGCCCCACCAGATCCAAAAGCCAGACCCCCGCAGCCACAGCAGACCGCCGCTCCCAGTGCAGAGGGCTCCTCCAGAGGAATCACTGGGGATACTAAAACCATACAATAAAGATTAAACAGCTACCTAAAATTAAGTGACAAAACAGAATACATAAAATTAAATAAATAAATAAGAACCTAAATAAGATCTGTCTAAAACATAATAAATATTAATCAAAAGCTAATCTAAAAAGGTGTGTCTTGAACCTGCTTTTAAAAATATGAACGTTCTCTGCGGCCCTGAGCTCCTGCTACAATGGATACAGACAAAACCTCCGTCTGTCACACAATGGTACAGGGAAACGTTTAAAGTTTTTCCAATGGAACGTCTCAGTGCCCTCTCAAAGGGAAACTCGTGTATTTTTTACAAGATATGGCAACCCTTCTTGGACCATCTACCTCGGGACTTATCAACTTTACTTTGTAAAGGAGGCTCACATTTTGTTTTCAAATTTAATCAATGATCAGAAGAAAGTGTTCTTTATTTTAAATATTATTATTACTTATTTACTTTACTGTATTTTATTATTTTTTTAACCCTGATCTTATGAAAATATGTAAACATGCTGTGCTGGATGTATTGTATTGTATTGTGTTTTGGGAAAAAAGCAATAAATTATTGTTTAAAAAAAATAAAAAGTTTTCGCTGTGGCAATATTACACTGTTATCATTAGCTTTGCCTTGTTGGGGCTTAGCACCATATTTGTTCCAACAATTGTCCCCATTGATTTTGGGAAATGAAATCGCATCATCATGACTTACGTTATGTCCATTATGTCCTTTCCCTTTGGTATGGTCGTGTCATGCCCAATTTGTGATTGGACAAACATTTGGTCCCCTGTTTGAGTGACCAACAGCCGTCGCAAAGTTTTCTTCTTTTTTCCATAAGTATTGTATTGAAGTTGGTAAATGGAGTAATCTGTGTTTTATAGAATACAAATTTTGATAAATATCATTAATTAAAAAGGAGCAAGCAAGAAGCCACGAGATTATGCGACCGCACTTGTACAAGAGCAGGAAGTGCAAGCTCCCTGCTTGAACCATAAAGCATGAATGTGGTCATCTGTGGTGTTTTGTATGCAATTTGTACATTTGCCAGAGATGGGGAGAATATAGAAATCCCATGAAAGAAATCCTCATTAAGATTTACTCTGCCGTCACATTCAGAAGTGTATAATTTCTGATAAAACTCCTTCATTATTCCACAAATCTGTTTTGTTTTGAATTTTAAATTGCATTTAGAAAGAGAGGTGAGTTCTGTGTTTTCTTTTGTGTTGTATGAGTTGTAGATTTGAATTTGTAGATGAAGTAAACATTGCATATCTAAGTCCAGAAGTTGTATATTGTCACCTGGTCCGGGTTCATTGCTTTATTGTTTGGCATTAATTTTAGAGCATCTTGAAGTTATTTAGCAGATATTGGTGATTCAAGAATTCTTCTATGGTTTTCAGTCCATCCATCCATTTCCTTCCACTTCATCCATTGCCGGGTCGCGGGGGCAGCAGTCTAAGCAGAGACGCCCAGACCTCCCTATCCACACACACTTCCTCCAGCTCGTCCGGGGGGACCCCAAGGCGTTCCCAGGCCAGCTGAGAGACATAGTCCCTCCAGCGTGTCCTGGGTCTTCCCCGGGGCCTCCTCCTTCTGTGGTTTTCAGTCACTTATGGTTATTCAACATTATTAAGAAATGTGTTTACTTCTGCTTGGGCTGGGTCATTTTCAGAATATTATAATTTTTGTATGAATATCCTTGAATATGGTGTTAATCTCAGCTGGAAATTGTATTTGCTTCCCTGCTTCATACATACAATGATTTATTTTTCACAATTTTGTTTAAGTTGATTTGCCAGATGCATACCAGATTTATGGCTATACTGAAAGGATTCTTGACTGAGTCTCTGTATCATTGTTGGATTGGAAAAAATTGGCAGACAAGAATTACTGAGAAGAAAGATACATGATTAGGATTTATGGACCGGAGAGTAAAATGTAAATTATCTTGTTGTAGGGTTTTGAAGCCGCCAACCATCACCAAGGTCAAACTCATTCATATTGTTTTATTGTTTCGATAGAGAAGCTAACAATAATTCCCACCGCAAGCGCAGCGGGGGGTGCGTCACGCGGCGGCATACACACTGGCAGAGCATGCTGAGACACAGCTGCTGATACTCTCCCTATGTTGTCTACTGAGAGGTGTAGAAGACAGTACAGAGGACTGATGTACCACAGAAAAATCCATGTGTTTGTCATAGTCTCTGTGGGCTGGCAAGGTCAGACGAGAGTGAAAAAAATGTCCAGAATCACTGTCAAAATCTGCCAAGCCCCCTTCTAATGTTTAAATACAAGTGTTGTGGGTGTGTGGAGCTGATCCAGTGCTAAAGCAAGAAAGTTCCCCATGTATTTGGACTGGGAGCCACGTCACTGGGCTACTGGGCACAGCTCGGTGCATGGCGCTGTGTGCCTCTACGCTACACTTCTCTGCCCTGTGCTTGTCTGCACGGCGTGTCAGCATGTGGTGCCCTGCTGTACCCCTTGCGCGCTGTTGCGCATGTTTTTCCGCTTCACATGACACGGTGGTACGTTCTAAGAGGTAACAGACAAGTGTGTGTCTAAATTTAGAACTACTTTAAAATGAATGTGTATCTATGTGCATAGAGTTCCTCTTTGGAACCAATGACATGATAAATTAAAAACATGTTCATTCCTGTTTGATGTCTAAAGATTACTATCGTAAAGTAGGCGGAGAAGAATGACTGAAGCCCTCAGCACATGAAAAACTATAAGGGAAGAGGGGTCACGTCCGAGTTTGTGGGCCTGTGTCTTGTGTGTGTCATCTTTATTGTTGTCTCGTATCGCTTGTAGCAACGACAAAAATACATTGAAAATACGTCTATGTCTGTAATGTGTTTTTATGTTTGTTTCTGGAGCATACTTTACAACTTTCAATGTGTTTTTTTAACTGCAAATGGCCAATACATTTGATCTTGAATTATACATCTAATGTGTAATGTTATGTATCTAATGTTATTATGTTGATGATACTGTGCAGTTTAAAATAAATATATGTTTTGAGTTGTTGACAGTGAATGATAATAGTAAATGCTGTTCTTGTGTGGCAGGGTTGACCCTCTGGGATCATGAGAAGCTGAAGGAGTACATGACAGAGAGGCCGCAGCCCAACAGTGAGTTTGAGATCGTGGCGTCTGAATCCATCTCAGACAAGTCCTCGTCTCTGGGAGTGGACGCTGCTCTGAAGGCCAGTTTCTTAAGTGGACTTATCAAGGTCAACGGCTCGGCCAAATATCTGGAGGACACGCAAACATCCAAACAGCAGGCGCGAGTCACTCTGAAGTACAAAACCACCACACGCTTCAGAGAGCTGACCATGAACCAGCTGGGCAGAGGAAACATCAAGCATCCATTCGTCTTTGAGAAAGGTCTGGCCACACATGTGGTCACTGACATTCTGTACGGAGCCCAGGCCTTCTTTGTGTTTGACAGAGAACTGTCAGATTCTGAAAACATCCAAGACATTCAAGGAAACCTCAAGATCTTGATAAAGAAGATCCCCTGCATCTCGATCAAGGGAGGAGGAGCTCTCAAAATGGAGGACAAGGACAGAGAAAACATCAACAAGTTTTCCTGCAAATTCCATGGAGATTTCAATCTGCCCCAGAGCCCAATGACGTTTGAAGATGCAGTGAAAGTTTACAAGGACCTGCCCAAACTTCTGGGTCCAGATGGAGAAAACGCTGTGCCGGTGACTGTGTGGCTGCTACCGCTCACCGAACTTGACTCCTCTGCGGCTCAGCTGGTGAGGCAGATCAGTGTGGGGCTGGTGTTTGAGGTAGAGAAGACCCTGGAGCATCTGGCCGACCTGGACATGAAGTGTCATGATAATTTGAAGAGCGCAGCGCTACAGCAGTTTCCTCAGATATCAACAAAGATCAGAACCTTCATGAGTTTGTGTTCACAGTTTAACCTGGGACTCCAGGGTGTTCTGGCTCAGAAACTCCCAGCAATCCGTGGAGGAGGAGAGAACGAAGCTGAACTCACTGAGATTCTGAAGAAAAGAGCTGCTTCTCCATTCAGCTATGACTGTCTGAACCAGTGGGTCACCAGCAAAGTCAGAGAGATCCACCTCATCAAAACATTCACTAATATGATGAAGCACACAGAAGTCCTCTCCTCTCAGGAGGAGCTGGATACAACTAACCTCAACATAAAGTATGCAGTTTGCTTTGTTTTCACCTCACTGGAAACTGTAGAGGAATATCTCTTAGCTTTAGATCAGTACTTAAAGGGTGTTAGCTTAGACCAGTCCAGCTATCAGCCCAAAGATCTGGAGAAGCAGCAGTGGTACAGCAACAAAAACGTTCGAGAGGCCGTCAGGACCAAGGTGAAGCTCTTTGCAGACTTTGCAGAAGCCAACAAAGACAACAAGGACGTGAAGTTTATGGCAGTGGCTTTTAAAGATGAAACTCATAAAGGATCAACAATCTACACATATGAAGATGGATTTGAAGCCAGTGATGACTTTGTGCCTCCTTCGAAGCCTGAAGTTAAAGTGGATGTTGTAACACACAACAGTGTGACTCTTCGTGTTAGTGCCCCCACATGGGGAGCAAAGGCAGTGACAGGCTACAGGCTGGAGTACAGAGAGAATAAAGTGTCCAGTGCAAACGGAAAGTGGCAGCAGCAGTCAGTGGCAAACACCGGCTTAACCACAGTCACTGAACTGAAGCCAGACACAGAGTACACCTTCAGACTGAGGGCCCTCACTGAGATGGGACTGGGGCCCATGAATGAACTCACTGACAAAACTTATCCTGCACAAGAGGGCCCCAGACGCCTCGCAGATGAGGTGAGGAAAACTTGTAAAGTCCCAGAGACTTCACAAGAGGGCCCCAGACGCCTCGCAGATGAGGTGAGGAAAACTTGTGAAGTCATAGAGACCAAAGGATCTCTGCAGATCCTGAAGGTTCCACTGCAGGAAGATGAAATGAACATCCCTGGCTGTGCACGGTTAAACTTCGGCTCTGAGGTTGCAGGAAAGAAAACCTGCACCATAATGATGATGGGAGCCACTGGAGCTGGTAAATCCACCCTCATCAACGGCATGATCAACTACATCCTGGGCGTGCAGTGGACGGACAGCTACAGGTTCAAACTAGTGGTGGAAGAAGAGAAGTCTCAGATTCACAGTCAGACACCAAAGGTGACCGTTTACAAAATCAACTTTGACAAAGGCTTTATGATCGACTACTCTCTGATCATCATTGATACTCCAGGCTTTGGAGACACTCGCGGCATCCAAAGAGACCATGAAATCACTGAGCAGATCCGGAACCTCTTCTCCAACAGCTTTGGGGTGGATGTCATTCACACAGTGTGCTTCGTCGCTCAGTCTGCTCTTGCTCGCCTCAGTGCCACACAGCGTTACGTGTTTGATTCTATCCTCTCCATCTTTGGGAAGAACGTGGCGGAAAACGTAAGGGCCATGGTGACTTTTGTAGATGGACAAATGCCTCCAGTTCTAGGGGCCATCACAGCTGCAGGAGTTCCATGCCCCAAAGAAGATGATGGAAAACCTGCTCACTATAAATTCAACAACTCTGCACTTTTTGTTGAAAACCAGCAAAAAGGTTTGGATGAGATATTCTGGGACATGGGAAAAGACAGCATGAAAAAGTTTTTTGATGCATTGGATAAGACTGAACCTCAGAGTTTGACTCTGACTAAAGAGGTTCTGAAAGAAAGAAAACAGCTTGAAGAGACTGTGGAAGATATAGAGAGGGAAATAAGTGAAGGGTTAGCACAGGAAGATGAGATTTGGCAAATCCAAGAACAAATCAAGAAGCATGAGGCTGAGATCGAGAGGAACAAAGATTTTGAGTTACATTTTAAAGTACAGAAGCCGTTTTCAAAGAGCATTATAGGTTCAGGGAACTTCATCACCAACTGCTCCAAATGTCACCAGACCTGTCATTACCCTTGTAACATCAGTAAAGACTCAAAAAAAAAGGGCTGTTGGGCAATGAACCCACATGGATACTGCACAAAGTGTCCTGGTAAATGCATCTGGAGTGTTCATTACAACCAGAAGTACAGATGGGAGTACAAAGAAGTCACTGAGACAACAACTGTACAGGGGTTAAAGGTTAGATTTCTAAAAGGGAAACAGGAAAAACAAACTACAGAGGATTTAATCTTGACCCTGCAGAAGAAATATCAACAGTGTGAGGACCACATGAGCAGATTGGCTCAGAAAGCCACTGCAGCCATAAACCGTTTGGGAGAGATTGCTCTAAGACCCAACCCCCTGTCTACTCCTGACTACATTGACATGATGATAGAGTCAGAGAAGAATCGGTCAAAGAGTGAGACCAACGTTGGGGGGCAACGGAGAATACAGGCTCTGGAGAAGCAGAAGCGCAAGGCAAAAATCCTCCAAAAAGTCGGCTGTGGAAAACGTCTTCTGTCCCAAAACTTATGTAAGTGTGAGAAAAAAAAAAATCAAACAGGGAAAAAAGAGCGCAAGGGGATGTATGGGATATGTCTTTAGTCTGAAGCTGTGTTCACACTTATGTAAAAAAATACAAACAATTCAACCTCAATTAAGACACCTGTACATTTGAAAACAGACGCTTTTAAGTTTTTGATAATGTTGTGTTTTGGTCCATTTTTAATGAGTTGTCGTGGTCTATTTTGATCAAGTTCAGCACAGATTGATGCAATGGTGTGAACACAGTTTTTCACTACGTCAACACAATTTCTAAACTGTGGGATTCAATATTATTCAAATGTGCGTTTATAGCATTTTTCTTAAAATTGTGTTTTCTTTTTTCAGTCTGAACAAGAAGAAGAGGATTGTGAAACCATCAAACTGATTTGGAAAGCTTTTTATCCTAAAATGCTTTTCAAATTGTGAGTTTGGTAAAAAAAAAAAAAAAAAAAAAAAGATAACTGGGAAATCATTTTTAATTTTTTTGGGGACATTTATTTTTGTGTTTACATGGTGGAACTAAATGACAATATAGTATCATAGAGTGTATATTAGGAGTGGACTAACCAAGTGTGACCTTGTCATAGTGTTCACCGAATGTGGAGGAAGCCGGTTTGAAAATAAGATAGCTGGAGACAATTTCCTTATATGGGCATTTGTTTTGACAGAGCTGTCTTCATTTCGTTGTTTTCGTTTTTTTATGTACTGCTCAAATGAATTGCCCCGGGTGGGATAAATAAAGTAGTCTGAATCTGAAATTCATGCCTAGTTTGCTAAGGAAAGCCAGAGTTTCTCCCGCAAATGAAGGCTTCCGATCTGTCAATCAATATAAGTCTCATATCTGGATTTACAAAGACAGAGTTGTATATTTTTACAATGATCCAAGAAAACACACCACGCTTCTGTCTCATCACAGAGATAACCAGCAAGGTTCAATAATGATGTAATAAACTGAGTGTGTTAATGATTATGTGAGAAACGAGGACGCGGGGAAAAAGCTAAGAACAGAAACTTCACTCAAACAAAGAGCGTCTAAAGTATATTTTCCTCTTTTCAACTGCCCAAGATCAAACAGACTGTTGTATCCTGATTATTGTTTTTGTTTGTGGATGATGGACTTTTAATAGAACCAAAATATGCTTTTTGTTTGTTTGTTAGATAAAGATGTGACATTACAGAACACCTGGATATGTTTAATTAATAATAATTTTAAATGAGGTGAAAGGATTCTAAAAGTAAACAATTTTCAAATAAAGTTTCCAAATCAGAAGTAGTTTTTTTTGTGTTTGACTTTTGTTCAGATATATCTTGAATATTGACTTTCAATGGTTTAGAAAGTGGAATAATTAAAGTCATTGGGGATTCCAATGTAATCTACAGTTTATTAATAGACTATAGGGTCTGGTTAGTGAGTTAACGGCTGAGGAAAAATAACTTCACGGAGCAGGAGATTGAGACCATTATGAACGAAGTGGGGAAAAAGAATTAAGTATTTCTATTTGGAAGCCTCAAAAGTGGCATCAAGGGGCTCAAAAAACAAAATATGAAAAGAGATGACAGCATCTGTAAACAGCGTGGGGCCTTCATCACGCACTCTGAAGAGGTGAGTTTATTCATGTTCAAAGAAAAATATGCTATATTAAATCAAACAATTGATATATTGGGCCAATAGTAAGAATTCATTAATTTATGCCACAGGTGAAAAAAATGGAGCGACCGGTAACAAAAAGGAAAAGCTCATAAAAGAAGTGCTCAGCAGCCCAGGGGGAGGACAGCCAGACCAAAGCATCCTAAAGAACATATAAAGAAATAAAATTAACTTTTTGTATTTGTATTAATTATGTATGCGATTATTATTTGAAAATGGTTGAATGAGAGCCTGTCTGAGCTGTGGAGGCCGAAGGCGGTGCTGGTCTCTCATCCAGGGCTGCTCCACCAGTGCATCCAATGGCACACCGTGGTCCTGTGCCTGTTGTGGAGAACCGAGCCAGGACCATGTGGCACACTTGTACCAGGAGGTACCAGAGCGTAGCCCCTACATGTCCTAGAGCCATCTTCCTCTGATCAGACCCGCGCAGCGCTCCACGGTGGCGCGCGTCTTTGCTTGGAACCGCATGAACTAAAGGCCGTTGCACTGATTGTAGGTGCATATAACAATCCACACATTTGTGGGAGACTTTAGAGTCTGACATATTGCACGTTATTTAATAACACAAACTATCCATCCATCCATTTTCTACCCTTTAATCCATTTCTGGGTCAGGGGGGTGGCAATCAGAGATGCCACCCAAGTCTCATAGCACCAGCCCCTCACTGACCCTCTGCAGGTGGTGAGTCCACAGGAGGAAGAAAACACACCACAAACTAGCTCTAACATAACTTAACGTAAAATTTCATATTTGTAATGTGTGCCTATAATCTTGCCAAAGAGGGAATATGTTTATTGTTGTCCAAATCTTGTATTTCATGTGTGTTTTGGCGTGTTGTGATGAAGGTTGAGATGGGTGTAAAATGTACACCACCTCCTGACTTGGTGTAAATTCTGATAAATGCTGAAAAGTGTAAATTTTTTGCGTGCGCATCATTTACACCTGGATTTGACCGTACGTAAGTTTCATACATGAGGGCCATAGTTTGTAAATTTGGGAATGCTATGATAAATTTAACTGCTTATGTGACAATCTAAAACTCATTAAACACTTGTGTTATTTAATAACAATAAATAACGTGTGTTATTTATTGTTCATAACGCAGCTTTGAGTGGTGCCGCTTTGCCTCATATAGTGATCCTGGTCAAAGTCAAAAAAGATATTTACGTGGGTCTGTCACTAGGTGGCAGTCTTGACTCATCCTTTAGCAGAAACTTTAATGATGCAGTGTTTCGCTGCTGACAGATGAGGAAAAAGTATCAAAAAAGTCTGTGCGCATCCGCCAGACACGCCTGATGAGCACTTCTTACATCGAAGAAATGAGTAAACTATAGGGACTCGTGCACAAGAGGAAGGTGATCAGGCTGAAAGCGGGCTGATCTGAGCGGAATAGAAAGAGATAGAGACCAATCAGGACCAACCGAGTCACACGTGTGTAAGCGGTCGCGTATTCCTGTCGCTGTCTGCGGAGAAACGGAGAAGAATCTTTTTATGTTTAAATTTTCTTTTTTATTATATTCCCACAAATAAACATTTGTTTTCCAATTGCACATTTGTATTGTTGTTGTTGCCATAAATCTTCATATGGATCAAATTTCATCTCCAGAGTTCATCGTAAAGGAGGTATAAATATTCATATAGATTTAATTATTCCTTTATAATTGAGTTTTTTGTAGCCTACCCCACGCCTATAGATATAAGATCTATCTTATAAATGTCCGTAGACCCAGAAATGTATGTGTCAAAACAACAAAACCCTCAAAAAATATTTCATAAAAGGGTCTCTAGCTCCCTTTCTAGGAAATCACAAGGATTTTCATGAAAGTTTCCGATCTTTTGCTTAGGATATCTCAGGGGCAACAGCTGGTAGAAACGGAAGGTTATCACTATCTGAAAGTTAAAAGCCTCACCTTTCAAACACGTTATTGCATGTGATTATGGCAGTACCACAGAATGTGCTGTGGCTTTGAAAAATTGACATAAGGGCTGGCACTCTAAACCCTAGCTTTTGAAACAAGGCTGGCACTCAATGAGTTAAAGTTGCTGGAGCTCGCCCACTGCCATCTTCACTCTGTAAAACCGATTACAACTGCTTTTAAACAAGTGTTTGATGGAAGCCTGATCCTGTAGAGTGGGACTTCAGGGTCAAATGATTCAGCCTCAGCTCCGTCTCCTTCAGTTTGCTCCACATGCTGAGTCTTCAGACCTGGTTCTACATCACAGATATCATTGTGTCGACTAGGGGATGACTTGACTGTAAAAGACTTCCCACACTTTTCACAGACAAAAGGTTTCTCTCCGGTGTGGACCCTCATGTGACGTTCCAGATTCCCACTCACTGTGTACCTCTGATGACAAACATCACAGCTGAAGGGCTTTTCTCCTGTGTGGATTTTTTTGTGGCCATTAAGAGCTCCTCTGGTGGAAAACTCGTACGGTTTCTCTCCAGTGTGGATCCACATATGCCCCTTAAGATGACCTATTTGAGTAAACCTCTTATCACAAACATCACACTTGTATGGTTTTTCTCCAGTGTGAATTCTCTGATGAATTTTGCAGTTGGCAAGATTAGGAAACCCCTTCCCACAGCCTCCACAGACAAATGGCTTTTCTACATTGTGGGTTCTGTAGTGCTTAATGAGGATGTCTAAACGATTAAAAGTCTTTTAACACTGGATACACTTGTAAAGTTTATCTCCGGGGTCAGGCTGATGTTGTGAGAGCTTGTCTTTGCTTGTAAATGTTTTCCCACCCTCTTCACTCTCAATTGGTTTCTTTGTGTGGTTCCTCTGATGATCTTCAAGATGAGTCTCTTGTCTAAAACTCCGACCACAAGCCATTTGCTCTTCACCAATTTGTATCAACGAGTGTAATAATGTGAGCAGCATTACACTTATATAGTGTACAGCCTGCCGGAAATACGTGAAGAAGAAGTGCGCATGCGCCCCTGCAGTTTATGCCTGAAAAGAACTTGTTGCAAAGTTTGGTGAGTTTTCGTGTTTGTTCAGTGGGTCAAATATGAGATCAAACAACGGAAAACCTAAATACCTTTATCCCCATGTAAACCATGTTTAGTGAATGTGCTCCTGTTTGCCCATACAATCTGTGAGTGTGTCCATAGAGTCTCCATTGGATAACATGGGAACTTCACACCTCTCTATGAAAATAACCACAGTTTGGGAGTCTGTCATGCGCAGACCGTTTGACTAATTCAAATTCTATATTCAACTATTGATGGTCCATGTGTTGAGATGATGTGGAGCGATTTTCAGCCAAATTATTGAAACGGCCGCGGCTGGTTTGATGTTTGAGCGAGGTGTACTTTTCAGAGTACGATTGATTGAGAATGATTTTCCCTTAAGCCTAGTGTATACTTGCGCGGCGCTGCTTACGTTAGCGGTCGCGGTGGACCTCCGCAATTTAATTTATACTCACAACCAACCACACGATGGCAATCTCACAGGAGTTGCTTGAGATACCAAAGCGGTCTCCTTTACGCTGCTACTTTTTCCTCTTCAGAACAAAAACATGAACAAAAACAAAGCTGTTTGAGATCATTACATGTGTTTCTACTGTAGGTTTATGTGATAGTTCTATGGAATCATTATTTATTAACTCATTTAACTGTGATGTTGTGAATAAAGACACAGTTCTTGTTGGAAACATAGTTATTATTAAATTGTATTAATCACAAACAGCAT